AAAAAAAAAAAGGTCTTAATTTATCTATGAAAGTAACCATGTTCAACTTCTAGTCCATCTTGACCAGGAGATCTTTACAGCAGACAGGAAATTAATTAAAAGAATCAATCAAATTTGCAGTAAATATACTTTGTATGTAAAAGCAGAACCAACATAGCTAACAAGTGAAACTTTAGAATTCTAATGCATCAAAGAAACTCATGAAGATGCAACTGAAAATATTCGTCCACATACCCTCTCAGTCCAGCATCACCCTCTCCAGCAACCCTGAGAATACTGCCTGTACTAACCCCTGGAGGAATCTTCACTTTGATATTTTTCTTAATGCGCATACTTCCTTTACCAGAGCATTTTCGACAGTATTCAGAAATGACTTCACCATCTCCACCACAAGTTGGGCATACAGAAACCTAAATAAATTGAAGGCTATGTGATAAAAAAGTCCTTACCATAAGCTATTAGTGGAAAACAAGATCAAAACATCAAGTGAGAACAAAAATTCATTAAATTCATGAACATGACTTGTACCTTTGCAGCACCTATGCCACAATTCCTACAAATACTTATGTTAAATAATTTGCATTTCATAATATTATTGAATGTATCAAAGTTCAGCCTCATTTAATGTTTCTGTTTAGTAACGCCCAACCCTACACCCAAAAAGAAAAAGAAAAAAGAAAAAATGGGACAATAAATAATGTTGGTTACTGCTCAACGGTATTGCAATAGAACTTGCGCTCCTTTTATCTTTTAAACTTTGATTTATCAACACTTACGCATCATTTTTCATTAATCCTAACAGTAAACCAATTACTAGGTCGTTCACCACTACAGATATCTGAAATTTTGACTAATAAACTCAATAGTTGATTAACACAATTTCTCCAAAATCCTGAGTCATCATATGTAGAAATAAGCCTTCTAAAGAAAATAGATGAAATGGTCATTGTCAATCATACCCTCAACTTCATTTTATTCTTCTCCAGAGATTCTATCCCATCAGTGTTGCATATCTGACAATAAACCTTTAGTATCATTCTTGCTGTGTAAATTCTAGTTTATCTTGTATTTACAAAACATGGAATCAAACTCTCTCTTTTAATTAGAAGTTCACCCTTCACCACCTCAATTTACAACTGAACCTCATCTAATTTCACTATGTTGGCATGTTGCTAACCAATAGTACATGTTTTCTACGCATGTAGCAGGCAACCATTCACTATGGTAAACAGCATGGCAAACATCAAGTTCCTGGTCCTAAAAGAAATTAAACAGCAAAGCATGCAGCAAAAGGTCACAATGTGCAATTATCCCCTTGCCTTAACTTTTTTTTTTTTTTTTTAATGAATACCTTGACTTATTTATTTCCTAAAATAAAGTAAGAGTCAAAAGGGTTCTGAAATTAAGTTTCTAAGCACCTGTGAGAACAGACCAAATGGTGTTTGCTCAGTCCTCATAACTTGACCCCGGCCACCACAAGTGGAGCATATCCTCATCCTTGAGCCAACCTTTGCTCCAGTACCAGAACAAACTTCACACGTTTCCAGATGTGAGAGTTCAAAATCCCTTTCAGCTCCAAAAATTGCCTCAGAAAATTCTAAAGTTATATCATAACTGAAAAATATTGCAGTTGTCAGAGCAGTGTCGAGCATTCTACAAGCATTTTGGGTACATTAAAAATAAAATTACACAATAAAGAATTTATACATAAATATATGCCCGCACACACATTGCTTATTTAAGTATTTATGAACTTATAACATGCATGCATGCTAACCTATAGGTTATGTTGATAGAGCAAAAAAGGAATAAAGAATTTTGACATTACAAGCTGCAGTTGCGTCAATGCAAGCACAAGAGAGGAAAACAAGATATGCCATAGGTGTCTTAGTGGTTCATGAAACTTTTTAAAAATTGATTAAAAGTTATTTCTGGAAAATATTACATACTGGCCTCCTTATTAACAATAATTAATAGAATTCCTTTTGGGGCAGTGCCTTCTGCCTGGGAAGGTTACTCAGCAAATTGTATGTTTGTGCAGGAACTTTCTTTTGACTGGAACAAGGAGGGGATTGCATATGGTGGCATGGAAGGAAATTTGTTTACCAAGGAAAGAGGAAGGGTTAGGAGTGAAACAGCTAAGAATTATGCATACAAAAGAAATTAGTAGATCAGAACATCGTATAATTGTCCATTAACATACAGAAAGATCTGAACTCACCGTATGTCGTCACCTTTGGTAACGGTGCTACGACGCCGCGTCCTGAATCCAGTCTGGTCCATACCGGAGAATCCACCCATACTTGGCCCAAAGAATGCCTCAAATAGATCAAATGGATTACTCTGTAGGAGAAGAAACAGAATGTAAGAGTTTGAAACATGATTACTGTTTCAGCCATGCAGACTGATAATGCCACTAGCTTAGTTGTTGTACTAGCTCATATAGCATGGATTGTAATTCCTCACATAGCTATAGACAGAATAACTCTTTATTTTCTATTCTCATGAAAAATTCAGCTTTGTAAACCTCTGTGAGAGAAAATTGCAAAGATCAAATAAAAATAAGAATTTGTACAGAAAGATTTGCTTCAGAAATTGTTACATGAATAGGTAAAAATGTATTCTCAATTTACACAGGATGATTCTGTTAAAAAAACAACAATTGATCTAGCTGCCCTAGCAGCCCCTACAGTAATCTTCTCAGAAGGATAGAGGTTATACAAAATGGTTCTTCATCCTTGTGCTTGGACAAAACAGATTCTGGAACAAATAACCAAGTGAAGACTATCTAATTTGCACAACTGTGCATGTTTGGATCAAACAAACTATCACCTAGTGGAGTACTTTCATACATAAGCACATGTACATTTTCAAATGCATGCACCTTCTGCCTCAATTATCAGTATGAAAAATCAAAACAGGAATAATACAGACTAGATGTTATACTACCGTATAAGTACCAGATGCCCCCCCTACTGCACTCTTAACTCCAGCTTCACCATATTGATCGTATAAAGCTCTCTTTTTATCATCTGATAACACCTGACAGCAATGTACTTCAGTATTCAAACAATGAGATGACAAATGAGCAAAAAAAAAAAAAAAAAAAAAAAAAAAGATGCACATGGTTACTTCAATATTCAAACAAGGAAAAATATAATGCATTTACAAGGCAAAAAAAAAAAAAAAAGGGCATGCCACAAAGAAGTTCAAGGTTAATTCCCCAGTAACTATACTTCAAAAGAACACATAAGTTAACAAAAGAGATAAACTATCAGAATCATAACATAAAAAGGATGGATATATTCATATGAGATCTTGGGATTGAGAATAGAATTTGTATCTGAAGATTTCAGGCATATTTGTTCAAGAAGAACTGGTGAATTGAGGTACGGGTAATGATACCCCACGGACCAGGCTTATCCAATCAACTAAAAACCAAAAAAGAATCTGTTTTATGATCCTTTCAGTATAATGGTAGGTCCATACCAGAATTTTTTCAAAAGCTATTCAGGAAAAAATGGTGAAAGTCAGGATTTAATTTTTAGGCTATCAAGATCTCCAGTTCACCAGACCATTAATGTCATCAGTCCTTAACCTTGTGTCTCAAATGTGTGGACTTGAGTAGAAATGGGGTTAGTTCTAAGCCTGTACATTTCAATGACAACATGTGTATGATTTATGCATCCTTTCTATGTCTGACAATAAAGGTGTAAAGAACATTTATTTATACAACAAAAGAATGACCCAGAAATTGCTTAGGATATACACATTCTGCATATCTCTGACAACATGGTTCCAATCCCACAAAATTGTTATCCAATTGCAATACACAACAAAAATTGTAGGAAACAATCAAATGACAAAGAAGAAATTAAGAACCTTCTTCATGGGCATGTATTAAAAAAAAAAAAAGTGGCATAAAGAAAATGCAAATAAAGGAACTACAAATTCCAATACATGCCCAAAATGAATAATAATAACTAAGTTGATTATAGTGATCTTGCTTAGTGTACTGTGCACCCATACAATGATACAATTAATGGACCAACCCACTGGAGAACCATCAAGCCAGAACCCCATCCAATTAGCAATACTTTCAGTATGTCAATCATTAGAAGAATTAGGCCAACCATCTTGAGAAATATCTGTTGCAAACTCTTGTGCTCACCTCATATGCTGCACTAATTTCCTTAAACTTTTCGGTAGCTCCAGGTTCCTTGTTCACATCAGGATGGTACTTCAAAATTAAAAGAAAGATTAGATGATAGTATTAGGCAGAACAAAGCAAACAAAAGATAACACAAAGAAGATACATTCACATGGTTAAATTCAGTGGAGCCTGGACAATTCTGAGAGAATGGAAGCATAAGAGAACTATTTTATATGACGCAACAAAGGATGATTAACTTCAGAAAGGTGTGATGCTAGAAACATGTCTTAAATTTGAGACATTTTGCATCTTCATTCTTTTTATAACAAAACCATGACAATTACCTTGGTCAACAAGATATAGATGCTTCTTTTTACCTATGAGCGTTTATTTTCTCTTAATTCAACATGCACTTTTTGTACAAACTCTTTGCCAGAGAATTTCACCAAACAATATTTCATGCTACATCTCCATTTCCTGTAAATTCTGTTTTCACTCTTCTTAATCCTTAAATGGCCAAACTATTTCAAATTTCCACCACCCAAATCCCTTTTCTCTTGAAAGCCCTTTTAACTCTGGGTAGCTGAGGGATGCAGATTTCTCAAAATATGTCCTCTCATATTTCCATGAGGTACAACTTCAAGCCAAAATTATCCCAAGAGCTGTGAAAGCCACAGCCACCACAGGCAGCACAGTTCCTTTCCAGATGTTATTCATTAGCAAACACAGTATCATGTCTGCTTCCTCACCGGGCACTTATCAAAATGCAACTAGATAAATGAGGAACAGTGCTGAGCACATTACATTTTCTCCATTCGCAAAATCTTAAGCAAAAAATTTAACCTAAAGAACTGTAACTTGAAAGAAAAAAAATGGAAAGGGAAGAGGGGCATAACGTAGGTATCATTTAATTTCATATTCTGCTTAAACAATACTCACTAGAAACCATTTCCCTAGTTTTGTTTGGCTAGTAATTTTCCCATTTCGAATTTCTTCATATTATTCAAAATTCCAATAGAAATTACTCTTCTTTTCCTTCTTAACTCATTCTCTCAACAACTAGCATGCCAAAAAACAAACCCAGTGAGGTAAAAGAACAGAAAAAGGTGCGAAACCAAAGACCATGAAAACCAAATTGAACAAAGTAGCGTACCTGTCGAGCTAGTTTCCGATAAGCAGCCTTAATTTCTTTACTAGAGGCAGATTTTGCAACTCCAAGAGTAGAATAGTAGTCCCCAGAAGCACATAGCACAGAGACAAGACGATTGGTAGACACCCGACGAGAGGAGAAGGAGGAGGAAGTGACATAGGAAAAGCTCTTATGTAACCTGAGATTGATCCCGCCATTGATGAAAGCGCAAGAAGAGGAAGAGTGCGAAGAGGTTGATGGGCGCTCCGTCGGGAAGCTGAGCCGGAGGGAAGAGGGAAGCGCAGAGAGAGAAGCAGAAGCAGCCATTGAAGTATTCGATGAAATGCTCCTAAGAAAAAGCCATGCGTTTTAATCTACTGTCCTGCCATGGTTTTTACTTTGAGCGAGACACGGGAAGGGGTTGGTTAGGACAGAGCCAGAGAAGGAAACCCAGAGGACATGGGATTTGTGGTGTCACTTGCTTTGCTTTTATAAATTCCCCAAGTACGAACACGTCTTGGACCTTTTTGGAAAAAAAAAAAGTTTATTATTATTATTATTATTATTATTATTATTTAACCTCGAACAGATACTCACTTTTCAAAATGATTTTGTTTTTCTATTTTGCAAAGGCAACAAGCCATGGCTAGTGATGTGTGAAAAACATTTTTATAGATTTTTTATTTTATGATCTTCACATTTCACTAAATATGTAATATATTGCAAATGCAATGTTATGGGTTTTAATAAAATTAGAAAAGATAATTATTAAAAAATATAATATTATATAAAAAAGTTGTATATAAAATTGTTTCTTAATTATTCTTTAAAAAAACCTTTACCGAAAAATAAGTTTTAGTTGATTTGTAATTTTTCGAAAAATTCTTGTTCAGCACCCCTTTATATTTCAAATTTTAAATTGTTTAAGATAATTTTAGGTAATAGTTTATAAGATTTTAATATTTTATAAATGATTGATAATAAAAAATACTAAACAAAAAACCATAGTTATGTATATACTATAATTAATTCTTGTTTTTTATTATTTTGGGTAAAGCTTTTGTGATTAACATGAGTTAACTTCATTCAAAAACATGAAGTAAGATGTACACTCTGTTTGATATGATTTTAATCATAGATTTTAAATTTTTATTTTTTAGATATTTAATGATTAATACTATATTTAAATTAAATTTAATAAATTAAAATTTCTGTAATAAATTTTAATTTTTAAATATTATAATAATAATAAAGATTAATATTTATTAACTAAATTTATAAAAAAAAACTAAATAAAAAATTTTAAAACTATTATTTTTAAAAAAAATATTAAGAAAAAAGACAAAAAAATTTATTTTTATTTTAAAAACAATTAAAATATTTTAATTATTTTCAATAAAATTTTATTAAAATAATATAATTTTAAAATATTTTTTTATTTAATTTTTTTATAGTAGAAATGGATACTTATTTTTCTGTATTAAATATATAAAAAATAAAACTCACGATCGATAATTTGTGTGTTTTCCAATTTTATTATCCAATCGGGCTCCCCACAGGCCCATGTAAAATTAATTTCACATGCTGCCCAGTCCAAGGAAATAGCCAAATTTTACATGCAACTAAAGAAATACACAAAGCTTGGAGTCTTCAAATGATATTTTTCTTTTAAATTAAGAAGCAACGAATACATATTTTTAAGAGTTTGTAACACATATTCCAAATAATCATTCATCCAACCAAACATGGCTTCGGAACTTCGGAAAAAAAAAAAATAATAACAATAGACAAACAAATTTGGCCTAGCTTATGCTTGTACAGCAGGAGGACTGTTCCCAAAGCCACGACAGACCAACACTGGTTTCTATCACTCGCTTTTAGGCAGAAGTAAATAGAGACTTCAATATGACTGATATGCTATGAAAGATCAAACTGCTTGCCAACGTATTGAAAACTAAACCAACAGTTCTTCAATATGACTCCAACTCAATAAGACTGACTCCAAACAAAGAAGATAGAACAACAGGCACAAGGCTACCCTTTGGGTTTGGGTGAAGACATTGGAAGTGATGATGGTACGTTGTGTATTTTGCAAACTCTGCAGCCATATAATAAAGCTACTACTATATCAGAAGACATCTGGATGGAAACGGCCTGGGATGGAGCTGCTTTGCTGTGCTTGTCTCAAATGCATTGTTAAGGCATAGTTGTTTACCTGCAATGAAAAAAATACAAAAAAAGACTCATTAATATCAATAGAAACTAAACATTTTCAACTTTTATTCCATCTTAAACTGGCAACAGAAATGAAGCATCTTATATGTTCCACCAACATGGCAATTTTCCACATACAATCCCATTTTTTCTCCATTATGTTACAACCAGAGGTTACCAAGTTGGGCAGTGAAAGATGTATTCTTTTACCTCTAGGGTTCTCAACTGCTCCTGATATTGAGACACCAACTGCTTCAAGTGTTGCAATTCCTGATTTTTCTCATCACACTCCTTTTGACGCTCATGTTGGATAGCCACAGCACGTTTGAGGATGGAATTCTCTCGGACTAGAGCATCAATTTGTTCCTTCAGCATCACATTTTCCTGATTATTAGAACACACAGGTAAATGAGCTAAGCAAAAAGGAAATATTTTACTGTTTCAATACATCAAGCAACAACGTTGAACAACTTATATTCCAACTCTCACAGGCTCTTAAAATGATATTACTATCTTATGAAAACAAACACTCTAGCAGCTGATCAAATACCTTCCCAACACACCTTCTCTCCTAACAAATGAAAAACAACTTTTTAGGAAGTTTTCTGAAAAACATAAATAGATGCATCATGGTTTTTAACTAACTCTAAGGCTCTAACTATCTTTAAAGGGAACAAATTGTAAGCATGAGATTCAGTTTGAAGCTGGGTAAACAATGGGTCTTGTGTCAATCCCTAGTAGGCAAATATCAACTTATTTGATAACCACCGATTCCCATTGGTAAGTCTTAGTCATTTTGTCTGAGAGCCACCTCAAAAGATTTCTGCAATGCAAGGCTACTCCCAAAGAGCATGCACACAGAGACAAAGCATGTTGACAAAGAAAAAGAGAAGAGAAGAAACAGATAAATGCCTTTAGAAAATTTTGTGCTGCCTCATCACCAGCACGCTTACTGATAGCTTTCTCCAATATTTCCAACAGTCTTGAGGCCCGGGATTTAGCATCATCGACACTGGTAGAGCTCATCATCTCCCCCACAAACAAGTCCACCCATTCAGCACCATCAATAGGAAAGTTGTCCACAGCTGTAGGATTCTGAGGAACAGCAGCAGCATTTCCATCTACATCATTGTTCAAGTTACCTGCCAGTTTTGCAATAGATGTCAGACAACTTCAGTTAATACTTTAGTGGATCAAAACTGCTATTGATATAAAAGCTGAATGCACAAACAGATGAACAACATCCAACACAATCAACATTTTTCTGCTTGAAGACTACATTTCAGTTCAAGCTATAGTCTTACAGACATAAGCTACTGTCAGGACAAGTGCAGGCATCAACTGAAGATGATTAAGGGCACACTAGAATTCAACTTATGTATTGTCAAAGTATAAGTGAATAAATATATGGTAAATCTTGAGACAAAAAAAATTAAAGAGCTGCATTGCAAATGATTTGATCATTGTTGTTTCAATCAGTTGGCAATACAGAATTCATCAAAACAGATGTAGAACTCAATCCAAGATAGCATTTTGCAATCAGCCAGCTGTCAGAAAACAGAAAACCTATTGGTTTATAACAAAATCAGTCAACTATCAGAAAACAGAAAACCCATTGGTTTATAACACAAACAGCTTATAGGATCATTAACAAATTAGATTAAGTAGCATACCCTGCTCCGTGCTAGCACCGAATTCCTCAGGAGAAACTGATTTTCTCTCTGCTGCTAAGCAAAGTTCCTGCAGACTCTTGATTGCAGAGTCCAAATCATTGCCATTTTCTAGCAGTGCTTTCTCCAGAAGCTGAAAAGAAAACATTACAAAATAATGAATATAGAAGTGGATATAAAATTATTTCTGAACCATGATCTCTTAATAATAAGCCAACAGACCATAAAGAGTAAATATTTCCAACCTTCAACAATTTCATTTTCTTTTAGTTTCTCCATTTTGCAAGAGATATAGGTAATTAGGTATGCAATGAAGAACCTACATAAACATCTATACAAGTGGTCCTCACCCTATATATAAGCACCAATCTAAGATGTGAAACAAAAAATGGTAGTTAAGGGTTATTTGGGGTTAGGATTATCTTATTACAGTTTCAATATTTTTTGCACAATGAAATATCCTCATGATTTTAACACTTACACTTTCAACCAAAAACTTCTACTGCCCCACATGAAATACTAAATATTACAACTGTTTCTTTCTCTAATAAATAAGTCATAAATTAAAGGAATAAAGATGTTCAATTTCTAGTTTTGGGTTTGGCTTTCTGGAGAAAGTATTTTTGTTTGGAAAAAATAACCCTATAAGCAATGATGCAACCAATGCTCAAACTTTTAAACTTCATCCTTTACTTCCCGTGTTAAGCAGCCAAATAGAAGCAAGGAAGATTCTTTACCAAACATATAAAACTCGAGGTTCCTTCTTTTCAAATCTAAAAACAAACCACTAAAAAGACCTAGTATTTATAATTCTGAAAAATCTAATTTGTTAAATAACTTTAATTTCAAACCAAATGAACAGCTGTTTATAAATGATTAAGAGAAGAATAACGACCTTCCCAAATATTTATAGATCCATCTTCTCCTAGAATAAACAAACATCAATCAAATTTCCAAACAGCATATCAACACAAACCACAGACAATCAACTTATTCAAACAAATACAGGAGATAAATTCAACACCTCAATATCTTTATAAAATCATTATTTAAATACGATTAACACCATTCAAACACATACGTCAATAGACACGCATACCCTTGACATTAAGGTATATAGAGAAACAAACCTGGGAGTCCATATAAGGGAAAACCACTCGGAGCTGATCAATCGGGGAAGGCGTCGAGAAACAAATGGAGGACGGCGACGAGGGGGAGCAACGGCGGAGCTTCTTGGAAACAGAGGCCGATTGCGGTGACGGAATCTCCTCGAAGAACGACCTCTTGCTCCCGCACACGGCCGCAGACATCCTTCGGATCGAAACTAGAGCTCTACGTTAGCTTTTTCCTCAATCTGTATCTCCTCCTCTATGAATCGTTGATGAATAGAGAGAAAAAAAAAAGCAAGAATGAAATTAGGGTTTTTTCTTTTGGGTGCTGAGAATTTAAGGCGACCCTTCGAGTTTTGCTTTGGGCGTGGACTTTCGCGTTTTCGGCTTTTATATAATAATAATGGAGTAGGCGGTCGGTTATCTACGTAATTTTGTTTTTTTTTTTTTTCTTTTTGCCAAAGAGATTATTTTAAAAAAATTGGGGCTTAACCGGGGGGAAGACAGCGCGTGGGGAATATTCGGCGAAATTTGAAATTGCACTAAATAGGGAAATAGTTGGATAATTATTCAAATTATTTTCGTTTGGATCCTAAAAAATTTCTACTTTCCGATTTAGTCC